TTTGCTGTCTATGTAGCAGCGCCTGCGCCTCCCCAAAGTGAAGCGAAATCTGCTGTTGTTGCTGTTGGTGCTGATGCATGTGCTGCAGTCCGGTCCTGTGGCTGGAGTACAACACACAAAACGCAAAACGGTGAGGCAAAATTATATACTGGGAGCATCTGCGGAAAAATAAGCACCAGCAGCAAACGTTGCCAGGGGAGCTGCCGCTCAACAACGCAATCAGGTACAGCAGCAACAGCTAACTTAATGCCAATCTTAGCAGTAGCAACGCCGCTACAGCAAACATTCACAAGACAACAGGGCTGGAACAGGTAACGCCGTATAGTACGTTTAAGGGATTAAGTAGGCGCACTGAACAGCAACACTAGCGCTTCTCTCAAGCTCAGTCAACAAATCTCTTCTGCTTGCTGCTGCTTCTTCTGCTGCATGCACGGCGACAGCAGCAGCAGCTGCTGCTGCTGCTCTTTCTCGGCGCCTCTCTTGATCATGCGCTTTGCCCTGCTGGCCTGCCTCTCCATCAGCAGCCGATACACCTGGTATCATTGAAGTTGTTGCGGTATCACTCTCTCTCCACGCCAGCGCAGCAAAGCTTTGGGCAAACATGAAGCTGCTGCTGCCCGGCAGCTCACCCCACAGGACGCTCTGCACAAATGCGTTTTCTGCAGTAGCTGCTGCTGCTCCTGCAGTTCCTGCTTCTGTTCCTTCATCTGCTGCGGCGGCCCCTGATGAAGCTCTGGAAGCCGTCGTACCACCCGATGCTACCGCCTGCATGGCCTCTCGTGCTGCTGCTGGTCCTTCACCAGATGTCCCCAGATGCGACCGCATGCTCTGAAGATGTTGCTGCGGCTGTTGCTCTGGATGGCGCCCAGCAGCAGCGCCAGAAGCGTGGGGATCATCTACTTCCGCATCATCGAATTCAAACTCCTGGTCCAGATCTCCAGCAGCATGTTGCACAGAGGGCTGACCCTGCTGCTGCAGCTGCCCTGCAGAGCGGCGTCTTGCGTTGCCATAAGCTTCTCTTTGTGCAGAATCTGCTTCAGTCGCTGTTGCTGGTGTTACTGGTGTTGCTGCTGCAGGGGCTGCTGCAGCTGCGGGGGGCTCAGGGCTGTCTGGCAATGCAAAGAACGCAACGTCATCCACTTCATTTGCTGCTGTTTCTGCTCTTGCATCTGCTTCTGCTGCATCTGCCGCTGCAGCATCCGCAGCAACACTGTTGAGAGCATCTTCAAGCGCATTGTCTAGTTCCCAGTCGTCCTCGTTGTCGCCAACCTCAGCACTCTGCAGTGCAGATGCATTTACTGCTGGTGGTTGTCCTGTTGACGCCGTGGTGTCCCCTTGCTCCTCCGCGTTCATGATACGCGCTGCGTCTGCCGCCCTTTCGCTTGTGCCCGACATACTCGCGCCTGCTTTAGCAGCAATAGCTTCTTTTGCAGCCGCTGCGGCTGCGTCAGCCGTAGCGGCTGCAAAGGAAGCTGTTGCTTCAGACGATTCGCCTTCCACAGCACTAGCAGCGGCAGTTGCAGTGCTTATGCAAGGTGTCTCCTGTGTGTCACTTTCGGCTTCTTCATAGCCTACGGGACGGTTGTCAAGGTAACAGAAGGAGCAACAGCAGCTGCTGCTGCCGCAACCCTTGCCTCGCTTGGTGCCCCCTGGCAGCAGGCAGCAACAAAACTGTATGCCTAATGAACCCAATGTAAACCCCGATTGCGGCCGCTGTCGCTGCCATGGGTTGTGAGGAAAGAGATCTTCAGGGTTCATTAGCATGGCGGCACAAAGCCACTTGCTGTTGCTGCTGGTGGTGCTTCTGCTGGGCTGCTGCTGCTGTTTGGAGTGCTGTTGCTGCCGCAGTAGCAGCTCAGCTTCGACGGCCGATGACTGCTGCAGCAGCGCCCGAAGGCAGACAGCTAGCTGTAGCAGCAGCCTGGGAATTTGCCGCTGCATATGAGGGGGTAGTAACAGCAGCAGGCGCATGCTGTCAACAATTTCTGGGGGAAGCTGCTGATGCTGGTGCTGTATTACTGACCCCCTCACCAACTGCCAGAAAGGAAGAGAACTGTTGTCACTCTCCCTTCTCCCGCTGCTCCTGGGCTGCTCCTGGAGCAACCAGCTGCACTCCGACATCCACAAGATATCATCGCAGTTTGTGCTGCTGTTCAATGAGCCATCCCCTGGAGGCACGCGGATGTTGCTCTGCAAGAGACGAATGGGAACCTGCTGCTGTTGCGGCAGCCACTGCTGCGGCCCGGCTGTTGCCTTCGTTGCTGCTGCTCCTGCTGCTGCTGAATTGCCTGACATTGTAAGGCTGCTCACGGTCGGAAAAAGCAAAGGCAAGACAGATCCAACAACGGACAAGCAATCTGCGTCACAGCAAGCGAGCAAACCCTAAGCAATATACACTAGGCCTAAAGCGGTTGACAGTAAAGAGTCAGCGGTAATCCCTGAAGCCGAAATCGCCGTTGCTTCAGGCTGGCTACCACTAGGATACATAATGGCACTAAGGGATTAAGTCAAGAAGACTCAGGCAAAAAAGTCACGATTCTACTTCACTGAATCAGATTCCGAGCTTTATGCCGTTCATAGGCTACGGTTCAGGGCCTTAGCAATTAGGGCTTCCGCTTCCTACCATCAGGTAGCTGGACACTGAGTTGACAGTCTGGGGAGCAAGACAAGAAGAATTTTGCTGGCGTTTCATCTGTCCAGTTGCAGCGTCCCCCTCTGAAAAGCAGCACCTGTTTTTGCTGCTTCTGGTGCCTTCTGAGAACTGCTGCTGCCTGGATAGCGTCTTTGCTGCTGCTGTTACTGGCGCCTTCACCGCTTGGTCCTACTTCCCCTACGTGCTGTGAAGAACCTGCATCGTTGCTCGCCTCTGTTGTTGACTTAGCCGCTTCCACGCAGCTATATCTGGCACAGCTGCTGCTCCAAATTGACGCCTGATTAAGCGTCCTCACACGACAGATATTGGGCGAGGGTTCCGTCTTGGTGAAGCCGCTTCGTTTTGCAGCTTCTGTTGCCGCCGCAGCAGCAGCTACTGCTGCGGCTTCTGGGCATTCTTCCGGATATAGATATTCCAACAAATAACGGGTTTCACTGCAGTTTGGACCAATACCCCTCCTGCCGCCGCCACTGGTGGTGCTGCTGCTGCTGCATGAGTCAGCAGCGGGGGCCTTCGGGGCGCCCATCCCACTGGTCCTGAGGGGCTGAGTGAGCATTGGCCACTCCGCTGCTGCCTCGAATGCTAGCTGCGCACGCTTTCATGCTGTTGCTGCTCATGCTGCTGCTGCTGCTGCTGGAGGTGTTTCCGTGCTGGACTCTGGTCTTGCATTGGGGAAAGCCGCCTAGAAAACTGCATGACACGGACGCTCAGTAGCCCCAGCAGATAAAGTGACGCTCGCGAAGGCGAAGCCCGAGGTCTAAACTCCCTAATCTTGAACTTTGAACTGTAAGAGCTGCTTTTGGGCTGCCAGGGCTTCGTTCGCGTCCCCCTTTGCACCCTGAACAGATGGTACGAGGATGCTGGTGCAACACCTGGAGCTAAAAAAACGCGGATGGAATTACTGCTACTGTGGCAGCTGCTGCAGCTGCTGTTGCTGCGGACTTCACTGGGGCCCCAAGGGCTCCCTGAAACCCCTCAAACGCCTGCGGAGGGCCATTCACTTCCCATATTTGAGTACATCGTTGAATCAACCCCTAAAATAATCTGAAGCCTCAGGTTTGGATTATACAACTGAAGTGTCAGGGTCTAGGGTTCGTGGAGGGCTTGAAGGCTCATCGCTGTTTTGGTTCCATGCGCAGTGTCTACAGGGTAATGGCTCAGTGGTAGAGGCGGAAAGAACACATGATCTCTTGAATGAAATCAGTCAACTTTGCTTGCGAAATTTTTGAAACCGATTATTCAGGCGAGCCCGTGTCCTCCGTGCAGACGTTTTGGAACGCTCAGCCGGGCTTTACTTCTCTGCCATCTTGCAGTTTTGGGGCATATCGACTTTGCCTGTTCTGGATTTAATGCGACTATTCATGATTCAGGGTTAACACATGGGATAGTCAGTATCATGGCTTGAACGTAGGCTCGGATTCGTGATCTGTGCGTACGTCTTCGGTTTACGGATCGTCGGTTTCGGTTCCTGCGTGTAGCTCAAGGCGGAAGGAATAGGATTTCTTAACTCTCGGTTTAAATTCAGCGTCTATGAATAAGACATCTATTGGTTTATATCTGTAATATAATGCTCAAGACCTTCATTATCCGTGGAACGTATGAGCAGCGGTCTTCGTGCGTGTCCTTCCTCTGTTTCTCCTGCTTCTTCTCCGCTTTCTGCTGCTCTATGTCACTTTCCCACTGACGTGGGCCAACAATCCTGGCTGCTTGCGACACGTTTCGCTGTGCTTCACCGTACGAAGACACGAACTCGAAGAAACCACTCATGGGCATTCTAGTTAAGCTACCTTCCCCCAAACCCGAACTGGAGGCGCTGTTTCTGTACTCTTTCACAAGAACACTGTGCTCCCCAATATATAGTTTAGGGGCCAAACGAAAGGCAGAGAAAAAAAGGTACAAATAAACCTCATGAGGAAAGCGGAAACTACACCGAGTGCTGTGGACAAGTGTCTGCACGCTTGGCCGTTTATACTTCCAGTGTAAAGGCAGCTCGATTCAGTGCCTTTCTTACATCTAACTACCATTTCTCTTTCCAAACCAAAAAAGGAACATGCTCCGCGGTTCGTGAGCTCATCATCTGGAATAAATCGCTTGCATGTGGTTCCATGCATTTTCGGAGCGCAAACAGTCCTCGCACCCTCCAGCGATTTCCTGTTCCCTATCGCTGTACTTGTTACCCTTTCGCTCTAGGTGCTGGTGCTTCTGCTGCTAGTGCGGTTGCTGCTGCCGCTGTGGCTTAGCGGCAGAGCTCCAAATTTTGCTATTTTGCTCTGGATGGTCGCACGTGGACTATGTTAGTGTAGGCTGCGTCATTTAAACTGGACGAAAGTAAGTCATACTGGGCAGATTAAATTGTTTTGGGTACTTGTTCCTCTGCTACCTCTGTCGGCAGTGCACAAAACGTCTCCGTGCCCGACACCCAGCAACAGCCCAAATGAGCCTCTCTGAGCAACAGGCCATATACCCCCTGTACAATACAAGCACCAGAATACGAGTCTTGGGTCTGGAGATTTTGTAATGAGCGGCTGCATACGCATGGAGTGCACACACACTTAAGCATAGCAGACACAGCAACAGCAGCAGCAATACGAAAAATATCAGCGACAGCAATATTAACAACGGCAGCAGAAACGGGAGTAGGGAAACAACCTACGTCATCGCTGGTGTACCCAACAAGCGAGCCATCGGACGCGAGAGCGTAAGGCCAGCCTGAAGGCACAAAAGACAGAAAATGCACCTCTACGCATATATTGGACCAACACCAAACACTAGGCCATACATCGTGGGAAGCCTTGGGCACAGGCCAGCGTGTGCCTACCAACTACTCAAAATCTCCCAAGCCGCTACATGCCCACGTACTTGACCGTAAACCCAGAAATTTGAGCCATTTAGCCTACACACCCGCTGCGAACTGTGCCTTCCCTATTCGAAGGGTTTGCAAGGGCTTAGATCTGAAGAGAGAGTAGACTCTCAACCACCCCGCGCAGTCGATGCACAAAAAGCAAAAGTCTAGACGGCTGCAGTTTAGGGCCAAGATGCGAGACCGCTGACGGTAACGAATCTGAATCCACACAATTCGCACACCGTAGAGCTTTGAACCCAAAGTCTAAGCATTAAACCATAAGGCGAGTGAGCAGCTTCTGGTAGTTTCAAACTTGGCACCACCGGCAGCCTCTAAAACCAAGCTCTTTAGACTGTACACAGCCGGCGTTTAACCCTTGAAGAGCGTAGCATCATGCTGAAAGACATAAGCCCTGACATCCAGTGACTGACGAAAGATTTCCTGAGGCATGGCTCTGGTGGTTTGATGTTCCCGTCATTGGTGGCATCGTCAGCGCAGAGGTGAGAATGCTGCAGCACCTGCCGCTGCTGCTGCAGCAGCAACGAACAGAAGCGAAAAAAAGCCTCAGCTAGCCGAAACGCCAGGGGGTTTCTCTCAAGAAGAAAGAAAGCGTAGCAGGCGTCTCTTTCTGGAAAGCGGTCGCCTTGGTGCTGATGCTTGCCTTCGCCATTTTGGTTCTGCTGCTGGTCGCCTGCCTGATCCTGCTGCTTCTGTTCCAAGCTACTGCCGCTGCAGCCAAGAGTACAGTTCCCCCTTAAGGCATGAAGTGGCTCGTCCTCTGCAGCAGCAGAGCCGTTGGATCCGGTCGGCCCTGTTCGCTTCGCCGCCCTTGCTGCTGCCGCTGCTGTAGTTGCTGAAACCGCGGCGGAGTCCGCTGAGGCAGCAGCCGCAACCGCCGCTGTTTCTTGATTCTTGTTACTATTCCCCCCTGAGACGCTCCTGATTATTCGTTGAATGAGGCTTTTGTTTCCGCCTTTCATGTTGGAGTTACAACTTTGATTCGTTAAATCAGCTTTTTGTAAACAACGTAAAAAAAGAGCAGGCAGAGCTTGCAGCGGAGAATTTGCCGTTGATGCTGCCGCTGATCCTGCTGCTACTGGTGATTTGGATGTGTCGCAACTATCACGAAGCTGTGAGCAACCCCCATCAGCCGACGCAGAAGGACCGGCTTGCCTCCTCAGAAGACGGGAGCCGGAGCCCGAGCAGGATGCAGCCGCGGACGGCTGCTGTTGCTGTTGCTGCTGGTCTGTGCCTTTGTAGTTCATGCAAGTGCCTGCGCAGCAGGCAAAAGCTGCTGCTGCTGCGTCTGGTGCAGGTGTTGCCGTTGCAGCTGTTCTACAACTGCTCCCCAAGCCTAGAGCTCGGGCCCTGGAGGCGTAGTAGTCGAAGAAGGAGAGACGGAGGTCGAAAACGGAAATTGATTTGTCATCAGAAACAAGTAAAAAGAAGTATGACAAAAAACAAGCGTGGTGCATGCGGCGTGGCGCCATCTGTTGGTGCACCAAATACTCATCCATGTAACTCCGGCGAGCAGCGCACCAGCTGAAGCAGCAGCAACAGAAGCGGCACGTCAGAAGAATAGCAAACAGAGCTGATTTTACCACACTCGAAATCTGTACGTTACGGGGTCTGCCAAGCGAGTGAATTAGTGGCAATCTAGGAACTAGGCAGCCACAGGCGGCCGCTAATGGTTTTTGATTACCCCTGGCTCTCCTCGACAAGCCTCGAAGCTCCTCGAGCGTCCACCACAGAAAGCCAACGAGGTTCCCCAGCAGCTTCACTGCTGCAGCAACTGCATCAGCCGCAGCAACAGCAACAGCAGCAGCAACTCATCCATACAGTCAACTCATCTAGGCCAGCTGCGCCGTGTGAATCCGAATTCGTTAGAGGCAAGCATCAGATGCCTGTACACTTGGCAGCCTGCAGGCAGCCCTGCACCCCAATTTATTGTCTAAACAAACGAAAGACGAGCATTGTGCGCCAGAAAGATGAGACATACAGCAACAGCAGCACGCGGGGATCCGGCTGCGGTGTACGTACAGCACAAAGTCGCCATTAAAGTCCAGGGCAATTAAATTTGAGGCCTCAACACTCCGCCATAATTTACAGAAGTAAGTGGTCTCGTAACGCTCGTACATGTCTCCCTCCCCTGAAAATAAGCCCTAAATCGTAAAGCCTTGACTCGAAGTTTTGCAGCATTTACTCAAATCTATGTAGCCTGAGGTATATGGGTTGCGTAATGCCCCGCAGGGTGCCAAGGGGTCTTACTTATGTCCATTATGCAGGCGGCGCCAGTGCCAAGTAGGCATGTGCTGTGACTTCTGGGTATCTTCTGCTGTTGCTGCTGCTGCTGAGGATCCAGTGAACAGACACCTGCAGCGAGAGCCTGCGCCCAGGCTTTCTGCTGCAACCTTTTGTGGTCTGTGAGGGTCGCACTTGTTGCTGAAGAGGCCACCCACTCTGGCTGATACAACTTATGCAGTATGATGCTCGCGAGGGCCCTGCTGCAGTGTCTATATAGCAGCAGCAGTTGGCCCGATTCCCGACAACGGCGCAGCATGCGCATGCTGATTGTCACAGAGTTGAAGGCACTCCGACATGCAAACAGCGATAGCTGCTCACTGCCCATACATCGCAGCGACGGCAACTTCCACTGCACCAGCTGCACACAGCAAACACAGCAACGAACATGCATAAGCTGCAAGCCGTAAGCTACGACACTGGACGGGCTGTCACTGGTCCCTCCAGAAATCCCTGTGACGCGCTGCAATGCCTGCGACCATTTAGCTGCCGCGAAGTCAGCAGTAGCGAGCTGGCTACATAGGCGTGCGCTTCGAGCTAGCTGCCATTAGTCATCCGTCGCCTTTAAGGCTTACATCAGACGCTCCAACGACAGCCGTGAGATATGATGTATCTGTCCAGCATATGGCCACGCCGTCGTCGCTGTAGGCCTGGGGGAGGAGAACCTCACCCCTCATTGGTCCTTCCTTCTGCCGTGACTCCAGCTCTTGGTGCTGTTGATCCTGCTGCTGCTGCCGCTGATCCTGCTGCATTGTGGGCCAGTAGAAGAGGGAAAGACGCCCTAGTAAGGTCCCAGCTGCAACTCCAACTCTTTTGTCAACATTTAGGCAGACGAAAGGGTCCCCCAGCAAGCAAGGCAGCAAAAGCTGCTGCCGCGAGCCCCGCCTCATATTGAAGTTACGATTTTTCATGCTCCCGCTTCTAGACCCAGAAAATATCATATTGACAACGCGCGAAAGCCCTATGCCCTCTCTTCTGGGCGCTCTAGCCTCTGCAGCCAGCATTAACTCTGAGTCCATCTTGCTGCTGTGCCTTGCTACTGTATGTACTGCTGTATTTGGTGAAAGAGAAGACTGTGAGTAAGGGGTGTTCATGCTGCTGCCCTTATGGCAGGAAGTGGAGCTAATGCCGTGTACGCCACTGTTGTTGTCGACGTTGCTACTTCTGCTGCTGGCGTCTGCGTCGGTTGGTGCAACGGGAAAAGCCGCAGCGGCGTCGTCACCGGTAGGCTGCCGAGGAGCTGTGGGTGCCGAACGTGGCAACAGGATTTCGTCTTTAAGATCTAGATTAGTGGAGTAGATGTGCTGCGTAGGCGGTGGGTTTGGGGCTTCCGCCGCAGCAGGATAGGAAAGCACCCCTCCATGGTCAGATACGAGCATCCCTTCGTTCTCTGGCTGCTGCGGCTGCAGCTGCTGCAGCGGCGGCTTTGGTGGTGGAAGCCTCTGCTGCCGCTGATGGTGGTGGAAGTCCTACTTTTTGCTCCACATTATACGCGGCTATGTGCTGCAGCCCGCAGCCACCAAGGGTCGCATGCATAAAGCCAGAGCAGCATGGGAGGAAATCCCGCCGAAACGAACCATATGCAAGAGATGTACAACGCGTCTGAGAAGAGCTCTCTTCTGTGTATTTCAACGACACGCGCAGAGGAAAGTGCGGTTTCGACATGTGAATCATGCACGCTTCTGGTTTAAATATTCCGCTAGAATCATAAACCGCGTGTTTTCCACATCTTTTCTCTGCATGTATTCCCTGTACTGCGGGCCAGTCGTCCGCGCCTTCAGAGGTTGGCAGCCCACATCCGATATTAATTTTGCGTCCACTTTCATTAGTTTGAAGGACAAGCACTACAAAAGATTCCAAACATGTCTTCCGCACCGTAAAATTATCCTGTTGAGGGTAAAGTAGCTCAAGACCTGCAGTGGCGCGTCAAGCAATGCAGCAGTCCCTGGGGCTTAGGTGTCCCCATTTCCACGTTTCTAGCGACTTTCGCCGCATATGCAAATTCCTAGCAATTTATTTGCAGCGGTGTAGGTGAAAAAAGAGTTTTGCGTCTAATTTTATCCCTTTTTCACTGCCCTTTCGCGCAACGAACTGCGCTCCTCATTTCACAATGCTACGTGCTGTGGCCCCTAGCATGAACGACGGAATCTCGACAGTATTCTTCAAGGCCAGTCTTACCAACACATAAATCAGGCAGACGTTCCCGGGGTGTGTGCAGCTTATTTTTTGCCTTGGGTTTTCCCCTGGGGAATGCGCAACGAGACCCCTCTACCCATATTTGCCCAATTTAATCTCATAAATACATGTATTTCATGTAATCTACATAGCATGTATATATGTTACATATTCTATATACTATGTGCATTGCTGCGTGTTGCAGCATATATTCATATAATATCAATTATTACACTTTTGCTCTGAAACGTGTTTTAGGCATTTGCACTGTGAAATGCACTCTCACACAAATACATTAAAAACGCGCGTTCAAATGCATGAATATTGTGTTCTTGATTAAAAAGGCCTTTTCATAGAGCTGTGACGGCAAAAGAGCCGTAAACATGCTTTGGCCTAGCCTATACTTCGGAAAACTACTAAGTTCACGTCAATACTGCCTGAATACCAGGAACGTACCCATTTTCATGAGCTGCAGTTCAAAAAGCAGCTTAAAAATCTCTTAAAGCCATGTTTAGCGTTCGCCGGAAAATTTCGAGATTTTGGGCTCTGTTCTAAAGTGCCCCTCCATGTCCTATGGGAACGCATAATGCTATTAGCTATTTTCAGTCAGTCACAACTCAGGCAAAGCGAAAGCATCTACATCCCTCAGTTTTAGCGAACTAATGAAGTTCACTTAACACCTAAGAGGCGTACAAGGCAAATACTTCTATGAGGCATGCCAGAGAGAGTGCAAGTTCTCAGTCCCTCTTTCTTTCCTCACAGATGGCAGACTGGCAAATCAAACTGCGTAGCTTTAGTAGGCTGTGAGAACAAGCGCGCAAACCAGATTGCGTGACTTTGGCAGGCTGTTTGCTGCCTTCTGCATTCTCGCCAGGTGTAAGTCCCCACGAACGAGTGCACCGTTTTGTCGTATGAAACTCCGTTGGCAGGCGTCTGCAGAGAGAGGGAGAAGGTACAGTCACTAGGAAGAAACACAATCACTACTTGACGGAGTAAGCTCATATGAGCGCTTTTTGTCTTGCATTCTTGCACATTGTTGCACCAACTGTAGACTGCAGGGAGAATTTCAGTATTGCTATGCCTTTGTGATCCCCGGAAAATGTGTCTGATCTCCAAGGCTAAGTTGAAATAACCAAATAAGGAGACCACCAGCAAGACTCAACATGAAACGTTGGGCAATTAGGCCCACAAGCCGTGCTTATGTAGATGTGTGTGTTTTATCATTAACTTCTTGCGCCGGGAAGTGCAAAAGCTAATGGATGAATACACTGATTCAAGCTGATGGATTTTAGCTGCATTGTAATGGCCACGTGATGACGCGGCATAGAGGCCCGTACAGGCTGTGTTCGTGTGCGCGTTAGTCGTTTTTGATGCTTTTTGCCCTGCTGAAACATGCAGTTTGTTGGATGCTCGTCACCTCGTGGTTGGACTAACTGCTGCGCGCGCGCTCCAAGCTCCAACATATTACAGATTTTCGGGAGATGTACACCACATAGTTATGGCAGTCAATGTGCCACAGGAAGAAAACGCACTAGGCTGCCTGAATATTTGGAGTCGATTGTTCTGTGGAGACTGTGGACGTTCATGTTTGCGTGCAAGTGTTGTACGAGGTCACCTCACGAGCTAGGCGTTTCGCTCCAATTTTTGACATACTTGCTGCAAATTGCTTAGTTCATCATCATTTCAACTGAATAAAAACAAAGTAGTGAATAAGTTCAGCGCCATTTGATACCATTTGAATTTCTTTTCCACTGGTGAATCTGTGTATCAAGTCAAGCAGCACTTAGGAAGGTCCACCTGTGGGGAGCAATATAGTATCGCAGCAACAGTTTGATATTTGGTCTTTAAAATTTTCAAAAAGATAACCAAAACCCCAACTAAAATTCTGGTTGCCCAGGTGTGGAATCCTTTACACTCGTGAGGTCACCAAAGTCCTAACCGCGCTTGTCATACTGTAGAGAACATGCAAGGGTGAGTTTCCGCCAACAATCCGGCAAGATATATTTATCAAATAAACAATGTTTATTGTGGTGTCAGGAATGCGCAAGTATATCAAGGTCTGCAAATTTCTAGGAAGACCGTCGCCGACTGCCAAAGTGACCGCCGGTCTTCGCAAGAAGCATGCAAGGTAAAACCCAGCCCCTCATTATGTGTGTATACTTATGCACAATATAGATAAAGCATTACTACAGGCGTAAAAATTTTTCACACATTTATATGCCTTAAATAGAATTGCCACGCCTTAAAAGGACAAACTCTCTCCCATTGCCATCCGTTGGGGCAGAGGCCACAGTAGCTCGTATTTCAAAGTTTTAGATGATTATTTCCTCATTTTTTCACCGTAAATATTTCTATATATGTTTTTCTGATGATGGATGAGGGAGGCAGGCGGTGGGGTTCCCCTGATCTACTGCAACCAACAATTGCACCCGTTGCCGGCAAGCGCAGCTCATCTCTGCTACAGGAAGCCGGATATCGTCTCGAAGGGGCCCAATGCACATTTTCAAATGGCAGCAGAGGTATTAAAGACATAACAGACAGCTATGCCCAGGTAGACTGGACCCCGTGGGACTGCTGCCGCTGCGCAGCAGAAACAAGGGACGCAATGCTCGAAAATGTAGCCAACGCATTTGGCCGTTACGCCCTCATAGTGTACAAACACCCGAAAAAGGTGAGAGAGGGGACCAGTCTATACTCGGGCCTGACTAGTCTTGGAATGAATTGCCCCAAACAGCGGTGTAGCAGTGACCGTGATTAGCGATCGCTTATTGTACATTGCCGTGTGCTGCTTGAATTCAGTTTATCATTTTCAGTGCCCTGTTATGTCTGGGACTATCTGTCGGCCTTGTTTTCAAGCAAAGCACAACTGACGGCGTTGTGCAGTACACAATTCCCCAGAGTCAGGCACAAAAGGCAAGTGGTCGTCCTGCTGGTGCGGTATGGCAGCAAAGGCTGACCCTTTATCGTAAACACTGGAACAGCCAACTGGCCTACCACAGGCGCATTCAGTGGTGTCCGATCTGTGAATTCGCAGGACGCGGATGAGTTCAGAATGTTATTTCAAGGCAACGTGACACGCAGCGAAGTAATTCTCATTGCATCAAACGACGGACAAAGCAATCTCTTGGAAGCTTCTTTCTTGAATGCAGTTTGGGATATGCATATGAGAATTCTGGACTTGAAAGTTACAAACGAAGGCGACAGAGATGGGCTTGCGGAAGCCGCAGTCGCTGTGGCTGAAATTGGTGACACCCTTGAACTTCCGAAAAGACGGCTGCAGGAATCACAGGAATCAAGTTTGTATCCCGCAGACCTGCAAACCGGCATGGCATTGCGAGTAGAGGGGATGATCGAAGAGGAGAGAGGTGCTCCTCAGATGCAGCCCCGAAGTCTCGCATGGGGTGACCCAGCAGCGGCAGTGCAACAGCATTTCGTACAGCAGCAGCTTAGGCAGCAACACAATCAGCAGCAACTACTTTTGCCGCCACAGTGGCCTATGACAGGAGGCGGACGCCGGCGGCGTGAAGCGTATGCTGCTGCAGCAGCTGCTGCACAAGCGCAGGAGCAACATGTGTTGGGGCTCCCACAAGAGACAGAAACCGTCTGTGATCCTGAGAAGGAGCTGCCTAGAGTTCGCATAACAGGTTTAGGATGCCGGCAGCCTTTAGGTCCTGGCGAATACGGCTTCCAAAATCTCTGTCACAAGGATTCAACTGGGGCCTGCGAGGCGCCCGATGGTGTAATATTTGTCTACACTCACAGGCGGTGAGCCCACTTAAGCCAATCTTCTTCAATCGAAACTTTCCCCATTTCTGTATGCACCAATTTTCTTTCCACCTAATTCATCAAGTTTAGGTCAAGAAGTGCAAAGCAAATAAAATTCGTTTTCAGGGAATTCGGAAGCATGTTGGAGTACCCGTTACACACTTCATTTTTGTTGGCTCGCGCCTTCCCAACAGATATGCTGCTCTCCCGTAGCGGCCTTCGTTTGACTCCTTCGGGCCGCTACGCTACTGCAACTGCGGCATTGTCCATAAGGCAAGGAAAAAACACTAGCCTATGGTACTACTACTGGTTCTCACCTGATGCTGAGATGCAGCCAGCGAAGGAGCGTGGTTGCACATAACAGCATTACATAGGTCCTTGCCACCACGAAAGAGCCTGTATCGCGCAGAATTCATAGGCAGAAAGAGAAGCTGAAGACTAACACCCTCTGCATAATAAACCAAAGCAGACAAAAGCGTGCCTTTAGGGCTGCTGCTGTGCCTGCAGGTATCAGATCTCAGACGATGCGAAGCTACGCCCTTACGCACTGCGATGGGAGCGGAAGTTGCAGGAGTTGCTGCAGCAAGAGAGACTCCCGGGTGCCCACATGGGACTCAAAACCGAGAGAAGCCTCTGTAAGACAAATAAGCTACCATTTGAATAGCATTTTAGGAACAAATATGGAATGCGTCTACGATTCACAATCATTTAGGGAATCCTGAATGGTGACAAGGCGAAGACAACATGACCAGTGAATTGTTGTTTGGTGCGCTTCAGCGGATGAGCTGGCAGCGAGCTCTTCAGCTGGCCCTGGGGGCGAGGCCGTTCTTGTGGCTGCTGCGGGATCTCTAATTGGAATGTATGTGTGGGTGGTAAATTTCTCTAGGTCTCATTTACGGTCTAAAGCAACGGTGGCTCTTACGGGGGCCGGCGCTGCACTCCTCGGATACCTCGGGGGTGCTGGTATGTGCTTCATGTGTGGAGTAGTCAGCACCGGGACAGCTGCTGCTGCACCGTTGCTGGTTGTGGGCATTGGGGTTGACGATACTCTGGTCCTTCTGCAGTCATATAGCCTGACAGTGCACAAAAGATCGGCAGCGGATAGGCTACAGCTGACACTGCGGGACAGCGGCGTGGGTATAACTATAACGACACTGACGAATCTTTTGACATTCGGCATTGGCGCTTTCAGTCCTTATCTCGCAATTCAGAGCTTCTGCCTTCTGTGTCTCGCTGGCCTCTTCCTGGGCTACGTAATGTGTCTTACCTTTTTCTTGGGCTTCCTTGCTTTAGATGCTCGGGCAGAAGCAGCAGGTAGGGTGATGGCAATTTTCAGGTGCTTCCCCATGGAGATCATGCGAGACTCCGCGCCTACCAAAACAGCAGACCCAGCAGCAGCACAGTGGCAGCAGCACCAGGAAGGTCATCGGAAACAAGGGAAACCAATGCGCACTATTAAGGGACTGCCCACTTTGCAGTATGTGGACAGGACGAGGCTCCCAGGCGCGGATGCCTCCGCATTTTCAGCATGCGCTAGCGACATCTTTCAGTGCATCACGATGCAGGTTGAGGCTGCACTCCAGAGACAGCAGCAGCAGAGATTGATCGAGGCGGAAACTCGCCGCATGAGGAAACAGCAGACTTCAAAGAAGAAACAGAGGAAAGAGGCAACCCGAAAGCGCAAAAAGGCCGTAAATGCCTCTATAACTAGCACAGCCTCAGAATTTGAGGGGAAAGACAGAGACAAAGGGTGTAGCGAATCTGATAGCTTCAAGCCTAAAAGGCCCCCTAGGGCAAGAACCAGGAAACAACCACCCAGAAAAAGCGCCATGCAAAGAAAGAAAACTGCAACGGCGTCTCGATCAAAGAATGGCAGCAGCAGCAGCAGCAGAAAGGAAAAAAATGGAAGTATAAAGAGCAGCCGCAGTTCCAGCAAGAGAATGCAGAAGCAGCAGAGACAGAAAAAGGCTAAGGCCCTTAGACCGGCACTTAAAGGCCGCCGTCAAAAAGCGCAGCAAGAACAGTCTGCCAAGGAAGGCGCAGATCAGGAGCATCACGTTGGATCTAAGGAAATGCCTCCAGGAAATAGCAAGACAACTGGTGAACCTTCAGAAAAGAACTTAAATAGCAAGGATTTGAAAACTACTGGAGTATCCGTACGCCTGGTTAGACCACGCAGAACAACAGTGCATTTCTACAGAAAGACATCCACCGTACCTCCGACAGCCGACGGAGTGCAGAAATTGCAGCAGCAGCAGCTGCAGCAGAGCCGCCAGCTGGACGATGACTGGAAGGACCAGATGGTGGTGAACTTGTGCATGGGTTCTGGATCCGCGGTGGTTGCTGCTGCTGCGGAGGCCGCCGAGGCAGCTTTTAATACAACAGGGCGAAGCTGGTCAGGCGAGCGCATTGCCCGCCTGCAGCTACTGCAGCGACTTGGTAGCGACGGTATCGCCGAGCCCCAGGGAAACGTAGGCAGGGGTTTACGGAAGGTGCTTGTCCATTTTGGAGCTCGCCTCCTCATGAATCCCTTTTTTAAGCTTATGCTCCTTGTCACTTTTGCTGCTGTGCTCGTGAGCGCTATAATTGGCTGCTTCAAAATTACTGCTGGACTCGATCCTCGGAGCCTTACCAAAGACGGCACAATGCTGAAAGTAAGACTCAGCCTCCCTGATGCGTGCAGACCTCATAAAGCACTGTAGAAACTTATAATTCTGCCTCGTAGAAGGCATGGGCCCTACTTGTGGTTTGAATACGTTTTACTTTTAGATTAAGGGCATTGAATGGATGGTGGGGGAATTCAGTGTCTTATGTAGGCTCAAGACAATGCCTTGTCTGGAAGTTTCTAGAGAACTCTCAAGTGGCTTTGCAAGCCAGCAAGGGATTCTGTCTGGGCACGCTGAGCATGCGTAGAAGGCCCGTGTAAAGAACCTCTTTTGAGCTTCAGAGGGACCTCTGGTTGGGAGGTCTCTTGCGTTCTCGTTGGGCAGAAGCCGTCTAATCGTACTCCGGCATTGCAGCCTATATTAACCTGATGAGGCGGGGACTGTGTGTCGTTTCTTCCCACAGAAATTCTTTGATATGCAAGAAAAGTACTTTGGGACATATGGGGACCCCGTGATGGTCTTTTTTAGTCATCCTGAAAACGTGTGCTCTGCAGCCTTCAGAGTGAGGTAACACAGGCTCCGTCACCGTAGCTACCGCGGCAGGGGAAAAAGGCTATAAATTAGGAATTGACCCGCCAGTTGCTGTCGGCAGCTGTATTTATGTGCTGCTGTTGCCCCGTTGAAACTCTAGGTGGAATATCAGAAGCTCCACGAGCGTCTCAAGCAGCGGAGCTACACAATGGAAATGCAAGACGGCCTCTTCTTGTTTCTGCAATCGCCCCTTGCCCGTAACGTGCCAGAACAGAGCGCAACGACTTGCATGCAAATGTAACATAACATTTTAATCTCGTGGACACATTGAAGGCCGCTTACTGTAAAGTATGAGCCTGGAATGGTAGTGGCACGCACATCACTCACCTGTTCCACCAACAAGTAAAGCGTTGGCTAGCCTTCCCAAGTTCTTGCAGTGTTGCATCTTTGTGCAACACTGCAAACACGTTCTCTTTTAACAGGTCATAGCTTGATAATGGCATGCATTCCTCTGCGTTGTTTTCTCTTAGCGAAGAATCGCAGTGTGCTGCGTACTCCCCTGAAGCGAAACGTAGTGTGAAGTGTGCGTGAAATACTCATTGCCCAACCGGCAAAGGCGACAGATGTGTGCTACTACACTGCGGTGGATTCAGGCTGTATGCATGGCTGCAGACGCCATTTGGTTCTAGCTTCACAACATTCTTTTCGTGGAGTAGCGGTTTCAGACTGCGCGCTTGGGCGTTGGTACTGGTGCCCAAGTACTTTTCTAGCACCCAAGAGAACAGCAACTTCATGCATCAACTTAGGTGAGAGAACCAATTCTGGTGTAGAAGGAAGCGTTCCTCCGTGGCTATTCATCCGCACTTGAGTTGGCGCCCTTATATATAAGCATGGATGCATGGGCGCGTGTACCCTTAAAAAATACAAATGGTAGCTCAGTGCAACAATTCCATATTCTTAGTGATTTCTTTGAACCTGAGAGTTACAGCCGTCCTTAACTAGAGATCTTTAACCCTGGCGAGCAGCTCCCTTAAGGCTTTAGTATTAGACACCATTTTTTCCAGAGTGAAGGTTTGCTTTTTCACATGAAGATTATTTTACAGGGCTGATTTAGCGCAGTTTCCCATGTTGAGAGGAGCGGCGTATAACCGCAATTTCGTTTATTTCGAAAGCGACGATGCGATCTTGCCGCAAACAGTCAGTAGTTTGGCCACTGCGGGCTGCGCCGTGATTGTTGTGAGTTTCATTAGCTTCGTGAACATTAAGCGCCCCCGATCTACCAGCCTGTAAATACACATACGTGTAATTATTGAGGCATAGTATGCTGTCCTGTACAGTAAGCCTAACAGTAGCACCATGAAGTCCCAGAACTCAGTGTACTCCATCGCAGCATCTGTGACGCTTCAAAGCGGCTCTTGTATTGTTCCATTTGATAGGTTTCATTGTTTTTGCTGCCGTCACTTCGAGGTGCTTTGCTTGTTGTCTTCGTGCTGCTTATTATCGACATAGTGATATTGGGGTTCATGGCTCTATGGGGCCTACCACTCAACTTGCTGACCATGGTGAACCTTACAATTTCAATAGGTACGTGCAAGAAGCTCGCGAGACACGTGAGTAGCGCCAGTCGGAGCTCCACGTGAATCTCTTGCATGGGCACGTGTCTCAACTGAGCTGCTGCATTGTCTGCAGGCTTTTCCGTGGATTACGCAACACACACCACTCATGCATTCTGCCACTGCATGGGACAAAAAAGAGGTCTACGCGCCTTTGAGGCCGTTTTGCTTGTCGGGGGTCCTTTACTACACGGAGCTCTCTCTACGCAGCTGGCTGTGGTGCCATTGGCGTTCGTAGACAGCCCTGTGCTTTCTGTTTTTTTCAAAATGACAACGCTGGTAATAATTGTGGGAGTGACCCACGGGCTCATGTTGCTCCCCGTGCTTCTTTCCCTCATTGGCCCTCTCCAGCAATCGCAGCAGAAGGTGGTTCAACAATTGCTAGCACTGCAAAAGCAGTACCAGCAGATAGAAGAGCAGATTGTCGCCTGCGGAGGTAGCAGAGCCAACCCAAGGTTACGGAAACAGCGCAGGGCTATTCGACGCCTCATAGAACAGCAGGAACAACCTGCCGAGACAGCTAGGGATGCCTGTTTCGAATTCCTTAAGGGTCTCTGTCCTAACCACCCTAAGAACGTATTTCTAAAGAGTAGATATGTTCGCCGCTGGGTTATGTCGAAGTGATGCTCTACAAATCTTGTAAGCATCAAAACGACAAAGCTGCTGAAACTCTGTCTAAACTCTTGCAGTGAAGACTTCCAAAAGAAGCGGCTTCCGAAGGTTCAGATTTGAGCCTTCAGAGCTCAGCGATGAAATGGTTTGCACAAAGGTTGTTCGGTTTTTATCTGTGCTCATCTTAATCAGCTTGGGCAGAAAGAACACGTGAGCAAATTGCGCAGCGTTCAGCAGAATATCATTCTTCGGGATTGTGCATCCGTTTTCTAGGCGTCAACTTTGAAGGCTTCAAAGGCATAGTCCCTCCTGGGAGGCTGCATATGACTGGTGGAGGTTTCACAGCTCCACTTGCCCTTATGCCATCTTTGTTTACTGCATGCAGACCATGATAACCACTCAACTAGTTGTTCAGTTTGAGCTGCACTTTCAATCAGTTAGCCTAATCCTATGCTAAGCCATATCCAAGAGCAAAGAGGTTTAAGTTTTGCTAGCTAGTGTTTCGGCCTGAGTAACGAATTGACTAATCTCAGACATGAAAGTAAATGCACGTGTACAGACCACTGCACTGTTCATTTGGGGGCGTTTTTCCTAACCTCGCGGTCCCGAAGTGGAATGTACGGAGTGGCCTGTCTTGATTTGAGCTATGCTCTTTTTTGCTGCTTCAGCAGCAGACTCCAGGGTTTCTGCAGTAAGTCTTTTCACAGACAGCGGCAGCCCTGCAACTGGTGGAGCAGCAGACGCAGCCACTGCCGCGGCTGCCAGGATATCATGCTGCTGCTGCAGTAACTTGTGATTTTGCTGTTGCTGCAGTGCCTTGGCCAAGAGCTCAAAAGGTCCCTTTCCTTCACATATCGTGGAAACAGCAGCCACACCCGCGTCAACCAGGAGCTGACAGATTTCGGCATAGCCCAGAAGTGCTGCTTCGTGCAGAGCAGTTTCGGCGGCCTTGCGCTCATAACAATCCTAAACAAAAGCATGCCTTTCAGGGCAAAGCTTTGCAGGAGTGGAATGGCACAGGCTGCGTTGGAGGAACGTTCAGATACAGTACAAACGGCAGCTGCTTCCCTAATTTGCTCCTGTGGAGATGAGGCTCACAGTTTGAAGAATACGGCGGACGACTTTCGTGTAGTTGCGCAGAACAGCTTGTTGCAGCACTTTGCTGGCAACAGCCGAGAAAAAATCCTTCAACTGTACTGGAGAGGCGGTATGGACGCTGAGCAGCTCGTTCCCCTTTTGCTTTTGCTGATCTTTTGGCTGCTCCAGATGCGGCTGAAACCCAGAGAGGCAAATAGACGACAATACCTGCAAACATGGTCTTTGCAGAAAAACAAACGAATTCGAATGCACGTCCCACGCATCGCCCGCAGGCATAACCTTGTCGACCGCAGGCAAAGCCTTTTATTTAATTGATTGGCTAGCTGATTACCTAGTAAGCTAAGCCCACGCTATCTGACAGCCAGCGGTTTTGTCTGCTTAAAAATTTTGCTCGTAACCTCCACTTGGCAAGTATATCATCTTGGAGTTTTAATGCAGCTAAGAGTAATCGTGGACGAGGTAGGACAAGCACAGGATGTAGTGCTGTTTTTACTTGCCAGCTGCTGAGTTTTGCAGCTCAAAACTACCCACCTCCAAAGCGCCTATAGCCAGAGTCTCATCTGCATCGGCCAGTAGCTTTTCGAAACCACATGCCGCTGCAGCAATGTCGGGGGGAAACTCTGCAGCCGCGAAGTTAACGACAGCGGCACATGTGTTGTGTCGTCTTGTCTTCAGATATCTGGAACAATAGCGGAAGGAGTTTTCGAAACTTAGTGTTAATATTCTTGGAGTACCAATTATTTCGCATTCCCCTTGGAAGTATATGGACTGAAACCTCGAGAATGCATCTGCCGCCACAAATGTCAGGTTATGCGTGAACTTAAAGGTAAGTAATTCATACAGAACAGGCTGCCAGCTTACGAGAATTCTGTTTCATCTGCAGCATTAGCAGTTCTCGCAGAACGTGCTGCAAGAGCCACTGCTAAAGCTGCAGGCGTCCACCGACAGCCCTTGGTGCCTGCAGGCTCTGTCAGTAAAACCGTTGCAGGCGCTCGTACTTTGCCAGACTGACGCGTAGCCGCTGCAGACCAAGCATCAACTTCTATTCAACGTGAACAAAAGTTGCCTCTTAGCGAGCATCCGTGAGTCAGAAAACCCAGAAGACAAGCCTTGACAGAAAGGGATACTTGCAAGAGGTCGATAGCTTTCCAGAGGAGCCATTACATTCCAACACGTTTGCGTCCACAGAAGTGGTTTACCGCATTTCAATATGACTCCTTACATGTCGACATAAATGCGCTACACGCTTTAAATCACGCCAACTCAGAATTCAAAATTCCGTAGCACAATGCAAGCAAAAAGCGACAAACGGTCACGTACCTTCCAACATTTTGTTTACTTCAGTTGGAGGGGCACCGCAGCCACCTGAACACCAGGGAACAAATGTGTTACTGCCAATACGCATTCGGAGAATCCACCGGCCGCAGAAATCTAGGAAGTAGTCTTGCACAGCCTTGGGTGACCAGAGAGAAAGGTAGCTTTATGCACCGTATGTGACCTGTGTACGCGGCTGAGCTGGTCTCTATACGTCTAATATATCTAAAAACCTCGAAAAATTTTGTTCATGTAAGGACTCTGACGGAAGCAGCGAACTTTGTGCAAGTACTCTCCTGTAATAATGCACTGCAACGCAGCCGCATCCCTCTTGCCAAAAATCTGACGTCTGCCGGTAGTGGAACCTCCGGTGGCGCCTTTCTGTGCCTTGCCTGTGCCGAACTGCTCAATATGAGATTTAAAGAGCTGTAGAAGCGCCACTACGAACTCTGGGCAGCCCTGCACCGGCATAGAGGAAGGCTCAAACAGCAAATTGCGAATTACACAATTATCATGTACGTTCACACGTCTTACACCGTACTGGCTGCCATGTGTAGCCTAGCTAAGCGCATCTTATCACAATGGTAACTCCCACTTGAAGCACCGCGACATGCAAAGCCGTAACCTGGTCTTCTGGGTCTTCTACTTCCGCAGGCGTTTCAGCCAGGCCTGATAGCAGTCAGCCCAAGTCAAACTAACGCATTGCTTTACACTAATTACGCCTAACCCAGTAGGTTGAGGACTTCCAGATTTTAGGGACTAGGCTCTGGCCTAGTAACCCTGATTCACAACATCTCAAAATGTTTATGCGCAGCGAAAACATCCCTCAGAACAAAACACGTTCGGTTCCACACAGGCACATAGCAGTTTGGCGAGTGATCCATTGTTAATTCCGGCACGTTCACTTGGTAGAGCCATTTCACTTGGTGGAGCCATTGTTTGGGTCTCTTCGCACAAACTCACAGATGGTGCGCAGCTTGGAGAACCGGACGGCCTTGAGGGGGTCAGCCCCAAAAGAGAGTAGCACCTTCACGCTTTCCAAATCCTGAGTATTCACGGCATAGTGGGATGGCTCGTTGAGCGGCCACTGGTGTATTCGTGTGATCCTTTATATATCACATCAGTCTGCATATGGCAGACGCGTTTATATGGTGTTTGCCGATAACACCTTTGGAGCTCAGTTATACAGTGACTTTGAGGATACGTTTCTCCTGCCTGTTTTGCGCATGCGATGATTAAGGGAGTCCGTTGCAGTGGCCACCCTTCGTCTTGGAGATCGACATTCTTTCCTGTTGACCAGCGACATATGTCCGCAACCAAAGCTGCTGACCCCGAAACCGCTGCGAAGTGCAAAGGGCTCCACCGCAGCGTTGCAGTCAGCGCATTGATGCTGTTCCCTATTTGTAACAAAAGAAGAGTAAGTGAACGGTGAGCCCTGCGAATAAACCCGCAGCACCATTTGATTTTACTCAACTCAGAATGTTGAACTGTTAGTTGCAGTAGCTTTTTTGCAACGGCAGCTTAAGGATGAGCAGAAACTAGCCATCGCACTGTTGCAAAGTGGGTTCACAGAGAAAGTGCCATGCAGCACAACCGCTGCTATTCAGCGCACATGATGGCTTTAATGAGTATTATCTCCATATGCTGAGGATACTAATATAAACAAATGCAGATGCGTGGACGGAAAATTACCCATAGCAGCTCAAATGGATAGGGAGCAGCCCAGAGTCAGTCCCATAAGGAGGCATGAGATTCTCTGTCTTTGATTGGTCTTTCCACTGCGTTGCTTGCCGTTGTATGCCCAGTATGCCACATACGGTCCCTGTGGCTGCAGCTTTCAGCAGTACTGAGTCTCCATCAAATTTCCCAGTGACTATTGCCGGGTCAGCTCCTATTTGCAGAAGGAGTCTCGCCAGGCGCCGTTTGCCTCGGAGGCAGCAGACGTGCTGAGTCAAGAGGCAAATATTTCTCTCGCCCCTAGGCCCGCCTGTATGGTTTGGGTTGCACTTTTGTTTCCTACGATATGAATAGCCCCTCATATTTCTGCAGCGCGTGCGTAAATAAACCACATAATTCAAATTTGCTGCTGCTATTATTGTGCGTGTTGTGAAGTGCCTACCAAGGCCGTCCACCCGTCCAGCCCTGGTCGAGTAGCCTTCGCGTCTACTTGTTGTCTCAGCACAGCTGCACTCAGTGCTGCTTCTATTGATGGGGTGTTGCCACCGCATTCGCTGAGTAGGTGCAGCAAGCTGCCCCCCGCAGCTGCAGCATCGGCCTCCCCATTACATAAATCCAGGAGGAGCAGCAAAACCCGCTCACGCCCTGCGGCAGCGGCGCACTGGGCACACAGAAGAGCTGGCAGGCCCGTCACGCAAGCGGAGTTGTCAACATTTGTATATCCATGCACATGAGTACGTATGTAAATAGTTTGTCTGGTATGAGGACAAATTTGTGCACATGAATTTGCATCACACGGGGAACTTTGGGTCCCAGCAAGTAAGCTCCTGCTGCATGCATGCACCACATTTCATGCTGAAGTTGAAAATGTGTGGGGCTTGGTCGCTGAAGTATTGCCTTTTGAGGTGAAGCCCAGCAAGGTTCATTTATCGCGTGTCACTTCAGCAGCAACACTGCAGCCAGCCACCACCCCTCTGCTTTGTACGAAGGTCCTGGGAAATACATTACCTCATCGGTCACTGAAAGGCACTACCCTTGCGCTTGCACTTGCGTTTGAGATTATACACCAGTGAGTGCCTCCCCAACTCTGGAGAGCGTTCATATGTACTTGCCACATTTCGCTGTTGTTACCAAGGGATTGCAGGTGTGCTTACAGCACTGCCCGCAGCATCTCACATGAAAAGCCGTCCAGCCGTCAATTTCTGCATACGTAGTTGCAGCAGCTCCGTGATGTACGAGTTCTTGGATGATACTCACTGAGGAGACGCTCGCCGCGAGCCTGTTGCAAAACAAGATTAGACTACATCCAAGTCTACTCTTGAAAGTTGAACAGTTATGACTAACTGGAAGTGATACGGCCGGCATGAGAGCTGGTTAACTTGCTAGCTAGCTAGCTGATGTTCCTGCATTCTGCCAGATCTTGTGGATTTACAGTGGCAATTCCATGGGCAACTAGCACCTTGCCTTAAAGGTGTTCTGAACTCAGGGTCTTCTGTCGCGACGTAAAAGGTCGGGGCAACGCCCACGTTGCGCAGCAGTCGAGACACAGTGCTGCTGTCCTCACGATGGATCGCCACCATGAGATGAGCCCCCTCAGCTGACAGAGGGGACACAGGCTCTAGCATCTGCACAGCTGTTGCAGCGCTTCTCTGTGTAGCAGCGGCGAAGATGGCAGTAGCTGCTGCTGCTGCAGCAGATGCTGCTGCTTCCGCTGCCCCATTTGGCTGAAGGCTGCTGCTACCACTGGTGGACGACTGTGAGGAAAGCGCAAAACGGCAACGGAGTCTCGGACCTACGTAGCTCAGGATTAGCAAGTGGGGGGCAGTGTCGCCAGAATTTCAATCTTGGTAGCGCGAAGGGAAAGCGCACGTGACCTGACCTGGAGTTTCAGTGGGTAGCACTTCTCTTTAAGGGTCCCTGTTACCACCACTGGAGTCAGTCGTGTCCCTGCTTGCATTTTTAGTGAAAAGAGCCCAAATAACCGATTTCTTCACAGCTGTTCACGCCACAAGCGCTAGACTCTGAATTCTACACCTTGAGCGGCCTGTGATATGCGAGCGGCAGCTCATGGCTTCTTGGTGGGGCTCTGGCAGAATCCCGTGGTATACAGGCAGTGTACTGTGGTACTGAAATTAAGTCAAGAAGCTGCCTTACTGTTCAGAGCTGAGACTAGGCCGGAAAAGTGCACTGCCCGCGCTTGCATTGCTATGAGTTATGCACGCCACCAGTAGTGTTCTGTTCTCATTGAGTCCCTACATGCAGGTATGTGTTCACGCTTATATATGCGTGCATCTTTAAAGTTCCTGGAAGGTCACTGCGCTTCAAGCAGGAGACGTTTGTAGCCTTTGCAGCCGTATCCTCTGCGGGTGCGGCGGTGTGGCTGAGGCGCGTAGACAACGGAAGGCGAAACGGACTAAAAAGGACCATCTAGCATACTATGAATATTGGAATATCTGTGCACCGTGGGGGCTACACAATAGTATATGTGGGCGGGGAAGCTGGGCGTAATAACCGTATGGTCTGCTCCTAGTACTTGATTTTAGTTCCCCTGGAGAAAATGAAATGGTAATGTGTTTTGCCGAATTCTGAAATAGCTGTCTAAAAGTTTCCAAGGGTAGGCTATTCTGTAAGCAAACGGAAAATGTGACTGTCTGCCTCGTTGTTTCTGCATGCACCCTTGCCGTCATACCGAGAGCACTGGCTGGAGCGGGGGCCTGCCTTCTGAGATTTTCCTTGGAGGGATTTGTCCGTATATACACTTCAATATTTTTGTTTTTAATTTTTCAATTGACTTCGTCATATTTCACAACCGAAATACTCGAAAAATGGAGACGCCGGCCTTCACAGGGAGGTCACTTCACACAGTAAACTGTGTTCGTTGAAGGCTAAGCGAAGTAGAGAAATGTATCGCCGCTTTTCTTCCTCTTTGAGATACGGTTACAATACCGTTACGGACTTATTCCGTTGCATATGCTGTCCTTGTATCGGCCCTTCGTTGTGCCGCTGCCATCGCAGGTAGTGTTGCCCTGTTTCCGTTACCGAGGAAAATTTTCGCTCCAAAGTTCAATTTTTTGGAGGCAAAAAATCCCTACATGCACTTCTGTTAGAAGCAGTATACAACTTTCTGTGTTTTCTGTGCTTTGGGAGTGCATATGTGAGAGGTACGGGCATATCTCGCACTAGTCCCTAGTTAAGTGAGGCGTTGAAGTTATACGACTATTTTGTTAGGATATTCTTGCTCCGTCCCTCCGTCCTGAACCAACCGATGGCCTGCGAAATAGTCAATTCGTAGAGTGCTTGTAGGCCTTACTCTCAGCCTTGAGCTCCGTTTAGTAGACTGGGAAATCTTAAGCGTAGACTTATGGCAAGATGTTTTATCTGAAGAATTGCACAGATTGTCGTCGCAGTAATGTACACGTGGACGCAAACTGCAAACGAAGGCAAAAAAAGCGTGTTTTAAGAGAATACCCAATTGCGTTATCTACTCACCAGAACAAGAGTTTCAAGAATTGATGAAAGGAAATGTTTCGCAACACATCGAGCCGCTCTGCGAGTGCGTGTCTGTGGCTTAGCCTCTACCGCCATTTAATGGAAGTGCGTACAGGTGCCACCCTGGTTGAGCTCTTGCAACAGAAATGTTGCCTCAATATCGATTCATCCTATAGTTTAGCCCAGTTCACCCCCTTCGTGTTACTTGTACATGTTAATGGAATTCCATCCTTGTCCCAGTACTCACCACTTAACTTTCCCTTATTTATGCCATCCTGCGTTCTTCTATGATTATTAGAGCTTCTACTGTCTCTCGAATTTCTGCTCTGCTTTAACGTGGACGCAAACTGCAAACGAAGGCAAAAAAAGCGTGTTTTAAGAGAATACCCAATTGCGTTATCTACTCACCAGAACAAGAGTTTCAAGAATTGATAAAAGGGAATGTTTCGCTACACATCGAGCCGCTCTGCGAGTGCGTGTCTGTGGCTTAGCCTCTACCGCCATTTAATGGAAGTACGTACAGGTGCCACCCTGGTTGAGCTCTTGCAACAGAAATGTTGCCTCAATATCGATTCATCCTATATTTTAGCCCACGGGAGGTAATGACGGATTGTAAAACATACAGACGTCCGATCTTATCGGAAGGCGAGGGGAGCGTCGCTCGTGTGAGTGACATCTCTCCATGTGACGCCGTCTTCCGCCGGCATCTCAATTTAGTCGGGCTTGGGGGAGCACTGTTCACTACTGGTAAAGTGATAATTGTGATTGCCTTGCATGCAAATAAATTTGCCGGGCCTAAATTGTTTCCTTGTTCATTGAGGGCTTTCCGCAGTACCTTAGCGCGCATGTCTGCGTGCATGTGTTCTCGTAATGGCCTCGGTTAGCGTTAAATACTTGGCACTTGAAGCTCTAAGAGAAGATTTCATGAAATCTGCGAGTCACTCACGAAGTATCTGAATTTTTTAATGCCCGCCATTCAGCATCTAAACTTTGGTCGGTGAGCTTGTTATTCATCGTTCGATTGTAATGCAGGAAGAAAAACAGTTTGAAGCTGATGGATCGTCTGTAAAAATACACCCGACAAAACTATATTCTTTGACTTATTATTTACTTTGGTATTCCTGTGGATTCGCACCATCTGCAGCGCACTGAGCGACTGGGGGCCTCGACACTCTGGTGAATGGCATGCAGACTTTGCTTTTCAGCGCTAATCGAAGCGGCATGTTACAGCATGATGTTGATTTACCATTTACATAATAAGAAACAGCAAAGTGATGGATGAATAGAGCGGCAGCAACTGCAACGAGCTCCTTGCAGCGTACCACTGGTCAAGATTGCTGCGCGTCAGCAGCATTTAGGGACCGTTTGTTATTTGTTCTTGAACCTGCTCTGTAGATTCGTTTTTTCAAATTTGTTCGTAGTGTATTATCCCTTTCTTCCTTCTTCTATGAAATTTAGTTGAGCGCTTCTCGCCACTTTTTGCGCAACCAACAACGTTGTGCATGCTCTGCCTCGTATCGATGCGTCTTTGCCTATGTGAACAACAAGCATTTGGCGAAGTAAAGGGCACACACGGAAGTCTGCTACTGACTTTGTCAGAGATCTGCACTTAGAGCCGTGCTGTTCTCCTTAGCACATGCGTTGGGCCTTGTCTGTTGGTCGTCCTTTCCTGCTATGCATTTTGCTGCGCTGCGGCTATCAATTTGGGCGCTGAATTTTCGCTGCTCAGCAGACCAGTTAGGGAATATCAGTCACAGGGACTGCAGATACCACTGGGAGACACTGAACCTGCGCTGTCGCCATGAGACACCTCAGCTCTTCGCTGCTTCTTCTGGCCCTTTGCCACTCCCTAGTGCTGGCCACTCTAGCAGCAACACAAACACTTGCACAGCAGGGGAAACAGATGCAGCCAGAAAATATGCTGCAGGAGCTACAGACTCAGTTGGAGAGACGCCCTGCACAGATGCCCGAAGATGCAAACATTCCGAAACAACCTGACAGTGCTTCTCCACCAGGACGAAAAGGAATAGACAGGCTGGAGGAGGAGGGAGCGGCTGGCTTGCTTGGAAGTGAACAAGGCCCCACACAAGTTCCTGGAGACAGAACTAATCCAGTCTCCTTCGAGCGCCCCGTGCAAAATAATGCAGATTCAACATCGGAAGATATTAGACTTAGCCCGCAGGACACTCAAGGGCGAGCTCCTGGAGGAGCATTACGTGATGGCAGAGCAGGAGACGACGCAGAGGCGCAGAGGTGGGCGAGAGATAGATTGATGAGAAGCAGCAGGCTGAAAGCAGCGAAAGAAAGTGCCAGCAGCATAGCTACGGTGCTGCAACCTGACGGGCTGAATGATCTTGTCAATTACGCTAACGACATGGCAACAGCTCAGGAGAATAGTGGGCGAAAGCAGGATCAGGAGAAGACAGCTTGTGAGCAGCAGCCGTGCGGTGAAGGCCAGCTGACGTGCAAGGGACCTATCCGTGGCCACTTTTTGTGTACGTGCAAGGCTGGCTACACACTCCATCGCCTTGAAGTATTGCAACCATTCTGCATCAAGTCTTCTCGTAGTAGAAGCAGCAGCGAGGACGGTAGCAACAGTGTGCAGAGTGGGGCCTTTTCGAAAGGGCACAAATGGATTATAGGGTGGTGCCTCGTCGGGGTGTGTGTGGGTATAGTGCTGTTGGTTGCGTTAATTTGGGGCGCAGTGTCAATTTACAAAGCAAGGCGGTCGAATGCACCTAAAAGCGTCAAAGAGGAGTTCTCATCGCTACTTGATGATGATAAATCCAGCGTACAGAGCGTCAGCTCGAGGAAAGGTAACAGGAGGAGTAAAGCAGCGCGTGATGCCTTTGTTGAAGTGGGAGATGATGAATTTGAGGCTCAAGAACATGGCAGGGTCTGAGGTGTATGGACAGCGAAAAGGAGACATAAAGCAGCTTTTGCTGGGTAGTTGCGCTTCGCTACAGGTGGTGCTTCTCATGCTGCTGCTGTTGCTGCAACTCTTGTTGGTTGTGGCAGTGCTGCTGCTTTTGGCATGGGTGCTTTTGTTATGGTTTTGGCTGTTGCTGTCACTGCCGGACTGCTGTCGGTGGCTACTCGTTATGGTGCTTTTGGGAGGCTCAGCTATTGTCAAAGGGCAGCAGGACGGCACAGTGTTGATGTCTACTTAATCGCCGTTGCTCTGTCAGCTTTTCTCTCTTCGATTGAATTTTGATGTGTCATTTGTTTTGCAGTTAGCATCAGATGACAGGTGGGGCAGTTTAGTGTGCCGCGGGCAAGTCCTGAGGAACTCAGCCCGTTTAAGTAACCGATATAACGCTACCGCTGTGCCACGCAAGAATAATCGCAACATTATTTGGTAGCCAAATTTTGTACGCTCGATGACTACTTGGAGTAGAAAATAAAAGCCAACTTGACGTCCATAGTACTTGCCGTTACGAATAGAATTCCACTGTTACTACGCTCAGCGTGATTAACACACATACAGAGCCTAATTTTAGCGAAGCAGCAATAAAGGGTACTATACTGGCGTATTGTTAGAAGCAGAGTCCTCGGGACATGCTACGGTGTAAATTATTCTGATATGTTCTGCCTTCTCAGGCAATGATACTGTGCCCGCAGAGAACTTCTTCTGCATGCCTTCCTGTGCTTTCTTCAAGGGACCGCAGTTGGTCTACTTTGCTTCGTTTCTCCCACTCTTTACTAGCTTGTGTTCACCCTTCACCAGTAGCGGCATAGTCTCAGCCGCCTTCGCTATTTTTGAGTGCCTGCCAGCTTACTGACGGGGAAAACTGTGGTTCTTTTATGAGCGGACAGGCATACTCATACGTTCTGCTTCTACGAGTCACGGATCATATTGTAGATTGGTCGTGAACGGAGCGAAGAATCAGTAGGCTGCTTTTGGTTCGAGCAGTGGCACAAATGTGAGTTGACTATTTTTTCTTCTGAGTGTATTACACTATGCAGATATCTGTCAATACATATAGAAACAAGCATCATTAGGTTCATATACATACAAAACGTGCATGCGTATGTGCAGTTACACAGAATTGTTCATAACCATAAACAGCTAAGTGCTCACGATACTGTTTGGTTTCACAAGTAACAGCTGCGCTTGCAGCATCAAGCTCGACGTGGCCTGTATATTACGGCCTATAAGAACAACCATTCTACAAACGTGATCACTTGCACTGTAGTATTTGCGGCTCCGGCGTTGGTCTTACAAAGCTTGGCGCCTTGGGAATGCTTGGCAACCTTCTACTAATTAAACGCCCTAATAATCGTCTTCTGCAAGGCTTTGCTGCTTTACATGGGTCGTACTACTTTTATTTCCTCACGATCATGCTCTGACCTTCAAAACTATAAGTGCCATAATCTTAATTTAACAATATGCATCCAACTGTTCAGCTTTCTTCAGGAGTTAATCTACTCGTTTGCTGCGTGGCTTTCGTACGGTAGCTCATACAGGAAAGGTGAGAACAATAGGCATTCGTAGCACCAACATTCACGATTTGTGCGTTACTGCAAGTGTTAGGGTTCATTGTTTGTGGACCTTGATGATGCTTTCTCCTCTTTAAACTAGAGCTAATACCTATGAGTGCTTGCATCACATAGTACATTGGCTTAAACTGTACCTGTGACGCGTGTAATTTGCATTAAAAGCATTAGTTGCGGCAGTACCTCAATATGCTGTTCCGTACCCAGAATTTTTGTCAGAAGTAACAGAGTTGGGATCAAACGGATACGCAGAGGGAACCGATGTTTTCAAAAGCATGGTGAGCAGCAGCAAGAGTAGTCCACCAATGTGAAACTGCTTACGATGGTGAGAGTGCAGTGTGTAGGCCAACGTTGTCTACCTTTGGGCTTGTTCACAAAGGGGCACTGCCGAGAACCTCATGTAAGTGGAGAGTCTCGAGTCTGCGTGCTGCGATATTTTACAGGCATAGCACTTTGAATTCACAGGTTTTTGGCAGTTTAGCTTTCCAAACGCTCCGCCCCCTCTGTAGCTGTGGCTCGCTCAGAGGGAATGGTACCACTTGGTTTCTCTTTCGCTTCCCACAAGGCACATCACCGAATGAAGCTTCAAACGGAAGAATATGAATCGATTAACGTGTCAAAATGAGCCACAGGAGCCATTTTCGACGTCGCAAATTCCCGTGGCCCATTTGTTGGCCATGCATGGCAGGCTGACACCGGGTTCGTTAACCGTTTGAAAATTCTAAATCGACATAAGCTAGATTGAAATGAAAGTTGGCCCCGAATTCTCCAATAATTTGTATTCAATACCCCAGGAATGGTTCAAAGGCAGATCTGCACAATGCAGGGACAGCGGCGGCCAGCGGGACTGAAGAGTCAGAACGGAGGTATTGGCGAGCTCAGGTACTTTAGCTCAATAAGCGGATTTTACTGAGTCATAAAATATTAGAATCTACATTTATTTTCGAGAGCTACGAGCAAGTAACCGGAAGCATGCGCGGGCACGTTGACAGACAGCTCAGTGCTGCTGTCGATTCGAGCGTTGTCGGCAGTCCAGCTTTCCTCTGCTAACATTTGTCCACCAGATTGACATCTTTTATCATAAAGAGTTATATGTTTGTTTTATTGAGATGCATAATTTGATTTTGCCCTGGGACGGAGGAAACCGACCTCTTACACAGCCAGGCCACCGGCATCGTGCCTGACCGCAGCCGCAGTGCTCGGAGCCTTCTGTCTCCCACGGCCCCACCATCCACCCGTAATACTATTCGTTACTGTTTGGCCCCAAACAGCTTTAATTTAGACAATCTATGAGTTGAAGGAGATCTCCGGTAGCCCACCAGAGCCCCAGCAGCGCCCCAGCCACAGCCAATACCGCAGCCGATAGCGTCGGCAGCCGACCACTGCAGCCGACGACCGCGCCAGCAGCAATTTTCATTGCTGTTATTGTGACGGCAACAGGAGACTCGAATTCGGGGCCTTCACTTTGTGGCTGGCCTGCGAGCTGCTCATCCTCCCAAGAGCGGCAGCCGCTGCTGCGGCCTTTTCGTGTGCTATAGCGAGCCTACACCTCAATGGTGGTCTGTGGATCTTGCGGGCTCCCTCCAGGGGCCCAGCGCAAGGCTTTTTGGCTGATGCTGGTGCTGGTGCTGCTGTCATCGATGGTCGTGATCATTAAGGAGCGCAGCTTCGCGAGAGAAGTGCACAAACTAACCCCTGTCCTGGAAGAGCTAGTTCCTTCTTCCTGTGTTCCTAACCCCCAGAATGATGGGCTTTACGTACACCTCGAGTGTCCTATTCGGAACTCATCCACTTTCTACCCGCCTTCAAACTTCGCCAAGAATATTTCAGCTTTCCACGGCGTCTTTTTTGAACTCAGAGCAGAGATGTTTCAGTACACTGGAATCCCAAACCTGCTCTTTGGAGGCAGGAAGGCAGAATGGATTGACCACCTCGTGAGAATAAGGGGAGAGGGCTTGGAGTTCAGGAATTAGGGCCTTTGGCAGCTTGCCGAACAGAGTTATAGAGCGCATACGACTGAGACTGAGGGCTTTCAGGGTTTAATTGTTTGGCAGGGTCCAAAATATCTAGTCTGCTGTTCTTCAGAGGCTGAGTTTTTCTCCGTAGCCAAGCAAATGATGACCTGAAATGTATATATATATATATACATATATGTATATAGTGTTCAAAGTGAAAGCCTAGAGCTCAGAACTTGCTATTTTGTACGTACAATGCAGATATCGGATTCTTTCTGGAGCTACATTGATGGGTCGCGTAATCCTGAGTTCTTTCCACACATTCCTGCAATTGGCCGCCAGGCATGTCTTCCAGAACGCTAACATTCAGAGTTTGCAGTACAAAGTCAGGCGCCAGATGATTAGAAGTCAGCATTTGGAGTCAATTGTCTAGGCGTTTCTATTCATATCACCCTGTAACTTGATTATTTTGCTTTTTGTTTGTATCTTGGCAAGATAATACTGCTTCTTTGTATGAGGTGTTTGTACAGCTGGCGTCTGGCTTGCGGGCTGGTGGCTATACACTGCCTGGTTCGTTTTCTGGCTATTTTAAAGAGAAGCAACAGCTTCCGCTGGAAGAAGATGGGGTGTACACGGCGGAGAGCTCCAGGCCACCGCGTAAAGTGGACTCCCAGTCAACTTTAGTATACAAGAATTATTTGTACACCGGCAATCCACTGGCTCCACAAATAGGAGATGTACGAATTTCTTTTTGGGGCAACAAGTCTACACACGTCAGCCTCATTGGCAAGCAAACCAAAACCTACTTTGGCTCTGGAAGAACTGTGCTCGAAGCACCGGCCGATGCAAAGACGGTGAGCGAGGGAGTCGTATAGGAATGAGGGTGAGAATTAAAGTGCAGGCTTCCGGCCTTAGGCACTGGGGCATGGAAGTGGTGGTGTCTGAACTCGCTGATGTGAACATTCTCAGGGCTCCCCCATGACGATATTGGCAGAAGGCGACTACGAACCTCACCGGCTTGTTGAGCACCGACTGACTCAGTTGGGGTTCCCTGCCTCATTTGTGTGGCTGTGGCGCTTCGGAAGTTTTCTCCTTTTCTTTTTCTTAATTGCCTCCTCTAACTGTTGGGAAACAGCAGCAAGCAGCCCCAATCCACTGGTAAGCACTGAAAGGAGGCTAGAGAAGGCATGAGATAAGCGTTTGCTGAATATCGAAGTTGCGAGACCCAGGAAAAGATGCGCGCACTGACAAAGCTAGTTGCTAAACTCAATGTATTGCTGTCTATGTTTTTTTTGAGTGAACGACAGTACACGCAAACGCATACACACACATTCACGCACATCATATAGACCTGCATAAATATATGCAGGTACCATTTATTACATTTATACGCAAGCCCATGTAGTTGCTCAGGTGATCATATGCTTACCAACACAGAACCCTTGCGTTTGTTGGACTTGCATCATTGAGAGCATGGATGGAGGAGCCATTAGCGGCAAAACTTCAGACCAGGGCTTCAGGTTTGTATGCGTTCGCATGCTTCAGCCGTTTTGGGGTAGGATGCTTCTTTCCGGCTTGTTGGCGCTGGCTGGAACTCTGCTGCAATTAGCTGCGGGCTGGTGGAGCGTGGAGATCGGCGCGGCGAGGCGACTGTTTGTGATTGCTGCTGTGATTGCCGCGGTCGCGGCGATCCTCAGGTGCGTCTAATACATAGGTTGAGTCGCTCAGAGCAAGGCGTATGGAGTTACAACATGAGTTGTATTTCCAGCTCTGAGGCCTTCCTTCGTGCGTGTTGGTTAAGTGCGCGTTGTACTTCGTAAAGGGAACTCCGGTGCTTCTCTGATTCTAGAACAGCATCTTTTGTTGTCATGCACCATTCTTTTCCTCTTATCTCCCTGATGCATTTTCGTTATTGTAGTTGTTATTAAGAGTGAAGCTGCTAGTTTGATGCTTTTTCACGTCAGATTGCTGCTCCCCCGGCTGCTGCCTCCAGCCCTAACGGCAGAGGTCTGCCGAGGTGGCAAGTACTACGACCTTGGGGTATCTCTGCAAGTCCCCGGTTCAAGCCCAGGCAGCAGCTCTCGCTTGTGCGAAACCGCAGCTACAGTAGCAGCGGCTGCCGCCGCAGCTGCTGCTGCAGCAGTAAATGGCCAAAGTGCTCAGGAGACACGACAGGGCACTGTTATCCGGTGGACAACAACTCCTGCTCTGCCCCCCTCTCCAGAAGACACAATTCGCCGCAGCGTAGCAGTTGCAGCAGTGCCAGGGGGAGCACCAACAGGACCAGCAGCAGCAAAAGCAGTGGAAGCACCTACTTACGGCACAAGCTATAGGAACGGAGGGCTAGCCGCTGCAGACTTTGGCGTGTACGGACAGCCCCCATTGTTGCCCACAAGGGCTGCGAGTATCACGAATCTTTCTTTGCAGAAATCCTCATCAAAGGGATCAATATGAAGTGGAAAGCGCTTCTTTGGAAACTGATCTGGATTAGGGTGTACTACTTTGGACTCGGCCCTGGGTTTATATGCCCACACAAGGAGAAGCCAAAGGGCTGATGGCCCCAAAGGGAACAAATAGTGACAAACACAAATAGGAGAAGAGATAGAGGCAGATAAACATGCGAGCGTCTCAAAGTGCTTCCTTTGCGTTGATATCTGCCGCTTTCCATATGCCTCTCCTCTCCCTTATTTCTGTTTTGTTTCTTTTATGTATTTTGAGCTTTGTACAAGGGCCTCTGTACGCGCTCTTTGTCATTTCGAGGAGGTTGAAAACAGGAGAGAAACACTTAGAGAAAAAGCGCAATTCAGCATGGATTAGATATACAAAACAAAGCTGAAGCCCTCAGAGTTGGAGAGAAAGATGGGCGAATGCAGCCTTTGCCATTTCTCTGCTCTGACTCAACGGGGAGCAAGCGATTCAGGATTTAGGGTTTGGCGCTTTGGGACGTGGAGGACTTGCGGCTTGTGATGAGCCCAAAGCCTTGATGACCAATTCCATTTTTGTAGTTTCGTGCCCCAAATCTTCCATTCAGTATCTGTCATGCGTAAAACTATCCCACACCGTCCACCCTGCAAGACGATTGCCCTTGGGCTGTGCTGCGGTGTGTGATGAGTGTCTACACGTACAATCCAGCACTGTTTTCGTGCCATGTATGCAGCTCTTGTTCGTCTGGAAATAAAGTTGAATAACATAGTACACTTCAGGGGGGCTGAATTGCTCCAGTTAGTTCCAATAAAGAAGAACAAACATTAACAGGGCTCGTACTCCAATGGAGAAGCAACAGTAGCTGGGCCGCAGGAAGTGTCAGATTATGCAGGAAAAGCGTACCAACGTAATCATTGTTAACGTGGCGGAAACCGATTTGATGGAAGCACTACGTATCATCCAGTTTTTAGTGTGTGTTGCTTCGGCTTCAATTACAGGTTGAACACAACATTATACTGCAGCGAACGCCGCATCTGTAACTGAGCATCCTGCACCCTTCAGTACAGCTGAGCGGCGCCGCCAAAGATACACTCATACATGTTCAAATTAATTTAGTGATTCAGGGCTTTCACGACACCTTAATAATCACGTTTGAGATATCCGCGTGGTTATTCGCGACAGGACCTCTAGCAGGGAAAAAGCAAGACGCCATGCATGAACTTTTATTGCCATTATTACTCCTTTTTAATATGTACAGCGGGTAGGCAAGGAGAAGACACAGCAACGGCAGCGCGTCATTGTCTAGTGTTGGCTGGTGAAATGGGAAATCGCGCGGCGGCAGCCTCTTCGGTAGTATTCTTCTCTTGCCCTGTAGATGTTATAATATCTTGATTGCTTCTCTTTACCATTAAATATGAATTTTTTATTGATAGTAGTATTGCTTTTGACTTTAATTTGTCCCCATAACTCGTCGTTTCAACAAAGGGTCCAGTGGTCCATTGGTTTGCCGTCGACCAGTGCGGCGTGTGCTCATAACCCCGGCCAACAAAAGGCAATATATCGAATTTTTCAATAAAGATCACTGAGTCTATACTAGTAAAATGTTTCAGGACATCAAGAAGAGCTTATGTGGAGGGGACTCGGCGGACGCTCTGTCAGGTGACTGGGCATCCATGTTGCAGGAGCACTTCAGGAGCCCTTGCCTACACTTTCATTTTCATTAACTTATTAAGCTCGTGCCGCACAAACTTCTGGCTGATAGAGGGCTGCTATGTTCGCGCAGCCTACTTTTAGCCGCGTTGGTATCAGTGTGTCGTTTTACTTGTCACTCTGCTTCTCTATTCTTATACGCATGCTGCTCTTTCATTCTCTGCACTGGAGTTCGATTGTTTAGTTTTGCCTTTGTGGCTGTCTCCCCAGCTCAGTCTGCTCCTGTAGCATTCCCCCTTACTGTTCGCAGCTCTGTCTTGTTTCTCGTATCTTGTCAGTGTGTATGCTAGAGTTTACGCACCCCTGTATGCCTAGAGTGCACGCAGCCGTCTATGCACTTCGACCTGTCCCTATGCCTTGACATCTCCCACTCTTTTTGACAGCTATGCTTACTAAATCAAAAGTAGAGAATTTTCAAGCATTTTCTGGCCAATTACTCAACTTCTAATCTTCTCTGTTTTATAAATCGCAGAGGCAGTGAAAGCACAGAGGAGGCGCATTGCGCGCTCTATGCGCTCATTAGAAAGACAACACCAAAAGGCGGAGCTTGAAGAACAAAAACTTTTTAACCAGCTGAAGATCCAAGCCACAAACGGAGTAACAAGCCCTTTACACCAAACCCTATGTTCTTAATTCCGATGGAGAGTAGGCAGTAGGCATTAAATACCAGAGTTTATGACTTAGCGTGTACTATAATGAAATAGTCTCGTCAGCTAATTCCAAAGTATAAATGCGTGTGTTTAAGCGCTGAACCGTATGTGTAAAATCCTCAGGAGTGGTTGTCAACCCCTAGCACTAGCTATCATTGTTATTTTGCGCCTATCTCAGCGTATTGATACACTTCAAACCAAGCAGCTGATTGTACTGAGGCGGAGACGAGGAGCCATCCTTCGCTGCAAGGCTCAACTAGGGGCAGCTGATCTTCAGGCAAGTCAGGCATTATGGGCCATAGACTTTAATGCTACCCTTGGCAAACATCGCAGTTTTCCCTGCCCTTAGTATGCCTAGGAGCGATTAACCCAAGTTATTTTCTGGTTCGCGGCTTAGGCCTAGAATTTGCCGTTCCAGGCACAGGGTGTCAGCTCTGGAGTCGTCGTTGGGCGTGACAGGTTCAACAGCAACAAGCGACCCAGGAGCTCCACAGACACTTCAGGGGCTGCGCAAAGGTGCGGAATGAAGTCCCGGCTACAGAAATGAGCTCTAAACTGTTAACTATGATTCCTGGATGCTGAGAAGGATCCCGGAATATTTAGCTGTTAATCGCTGCCCGATGTCTCTAACTTAAAATCCTAAAGGTTACGCTCAGCCGAGTACCACAGCCCTAAATCTTCAAGCCTGCACTGGCGAACAAATGATCATTACTGCTAGTGATATAGCTTGTGCCTTGTGCTTTTACTGACAGCTTTTGTCTTTAGCAAACAAAGCAGCAGACCTACAAACCATGCAGCTGGCCGTCAAGGGCTTCACACGAGAGTCTCTCAAGCTGGGCTTACTGGTACTATACCCTCGACTCTAAATCTTAAAGACTGTCTCGAGTCCTACTTGATGCCCTCCGAAGCTTAAACTTGACATTTTATTCTTCTTGCGTGTTTCGTTTCCCCAGGATGAAATGCTGAATGAAGTTCTCGAAGATGGCACGGCTCAGTTTGTGAGCTCGGCTCACTTCTGAGCACCATTCTGAAAAGCCTAAAGGCTTAACTGTACTTCCAAGGCAGGGAATTGTGTATACATTCCTTTCTTTGTCTGCGTAATAGTGTAACACCTAGGATTAAGGAATCAGTACTTACAGTTGGCGTTTAAGGCTGGAGGCTTTGTGCTGGCTGGTTTTGTAGCAGGAGGACGAAGCAGAAACGGAGGAACAAATCCTCCAAGAGCTCGTTGAATGTGCAAACTCAGAAATTGATAGACAGGTCAGACTCCTATCTCCAAAACATAAGCTGCTCATTGTATTTTGAAAACACTAGGTGCTAAATCATGACACTCGCCTCGCCTGCAGGCTTGATCGGCAATGGCAATGCATTGTTCAAGCCCCCTATCGGGAAATGCAGCCATGCAAAGAAGACCTGTTCGATCAGAAGTTTAGACTGCAGGTTGGACATAGCAGCCTTATTCTCTTGTGCGCAGTTAGACACCCAGAGGAGAGTTTTGGAAGCTTAAGCGCGTTTGGTGTGCATTGCAGCTACCGCAACGAGAAGTTTCCTGCCCGTCAGCTGTTAGGGAGGTTCCGCGCTTAGGGCAGCAGGAATCTCTGCAACAGCACCAACAACAGCCAGGAAGGAAGCACAAAAAGCTGCTGCTGCAGAAGCTCTCGAGCAACCCACGTTCATCCAGGGCACCATGGCTAAGTGAGTAAAACCTGCACCTAAAATTTAGAACCTCATTTATAGTAAACCGGGGATATCAACTTTTCTTATTGAAGGCCTTTCCAGGGCTCAAGGCGCCGGGTCTACGGCTATCGGGGGTGTGAACTGCAGCAAAGGACGAAGCAGCAATAGCCGAGCATCTGGAACAACGCCTAGGGTCTCTTTTGCGATAGGGCATAGAATTTTGGGTTGAACATCCGGTATAATTATACCTTCAAGCCCTCTAAATGATCCTTGGGATAGTTACCTAAAGGAGCCCCCTTTCAGCGAGTGTTAGTGGCAACATGCTGTGGCTCGTCTGCCTCCGGGTGGGCTGGATTAACAAACCAATTATTTTGTCTCAATAGCTGCTGCATTGCGTTAAAAGCTTCATACTGCCGAAATCGGGGTTAAACCTTTGGATATTAAGAATGGAGGTTTGTCTCTGAAACGGAAGGAATAAACCTACAAAAGCTAAGCCCATAGCATTAAACCCTCACAATGTACAGAGGAGAAATAATAATGCAGGAGAGGAGAAAGTCAAGAATACGTCGTTGTGCTATTGTAACTTATTACTTGGGGATTTGACAAGTGGTAGCAACTGGCGTACTTCAAACCTCAGAGGACTTCCCTTTCAATTCAAGGGGTAAGGACACAAGCTACAGAGACAAAGGGCAAAAGAAATAGAAACAGAGAAAAACGAACAAGTAGACAAATGTGAAAGAGGAGTGACCACAAGCGAAACGAATAGAAGAACGGCACGCGAAGGCAAAATAAGCAAATTGGGACATAGTGTACGCAAAGAAGCCATGTAAATAAAAAATTCGACTGAGAAAAAAAGAAGAGAAAATGATTTACGGAGACGGAGAAAAAGGTGAGCTGAGATAAGCACAAGCAAGCAAAGGATATTAGCAAGGCATAGGTACGAAATAAAAAGGAGCAAGTAAGAAGCTTTCTTGACACTCCTGATAAAGCGAC